TTTTTTTTTGGAGAGGTTTTTGCTATAGGGTGTGTGCGCTCGCCAGACAGACAGAAAGCGAGAAATCACCCCCCAAGGGGGATGGCCAAACTACAATCCCTTCTCCTCCATTCTCCTCTCGGGACCTTGGGCACGTACGCACACACGCCCGGCGTGAGAGTAAGCCACCGGGTCCAGGACTCAAACTGTGGTTGATTACATGGGAGTCCAGCGACATAGCCATTATGCTGGTCTTTTTTTACCCCCGTTTATTTCTTTTTTTATTGCCAGATGGCTTGTGTACTCACCAGAGAGAAGAAAAGAGAGAAAGGAACCCCCCCACCACCACCACCCTCCAGTGGTGCATTGTCATGCTACACTCCTGTTCCTGTATTTTTCCTTCCCGTCAGGATTTGGAGCACACATGCACATGTGCCCAGCATGATTTTCATGCTCCCAGGGCCAGGATACAAACCACAATTCTTTTTTGTATCTGAGTGATTGCATGTACTCACCCATGATTTCAGTTCAGTCCCTCCTGGTATGGGTGTATGTGTATCCCACCTTACTGAAATAGTTGACACTCTGTTCTTTGACTTAAGGAGTTCCTACCAATTAAGTGTAATCTCCCTGCTTCAGGGTTTCGTAAATATACTCCCATTACGAGGTTTTATTATGCCCTTAACTACCCATTTCAAATCATCATATCGCTTTTTTTTATAAAAGGAACGGGTGATAGAGACGTCATACTGTTTTAGAATATTGGGCCTAAATGTAACCGCTATAGGAGATGTCTCCCTGTTTCTATTACTCATTCATCCAGAAAATACCTAATGGACCCCTGTTATGTACCAGGCATGGTGCTAGGACTGGGGTGGAATAATTCAGACATGATCCTTGCACCATCAGCCACTCCTGGCCTTGTGCAAAATCAGCTCAGGGAGCTCACCAGTGTCTTTGGAAACAAAAGGTCTACCTAAATGCAAAAAGCAATGGCTTTAGAAAGAATGTTCTTATTCCACAGTGTGGGTCAACCTATTGCTATAAGAACTCGACAAATCAAATTGGACAACTTCTTTGCTCAAAATTAATTTGGTTCTTTTTTTTTTTCTTTTAAGAATTATTTTATTTTTTTGATTATCATTATTTTATTTTATTTTTCGCTTAAGTTGACCAGAGAGAGACAGAGAGAAAAAAGAGTAAAAAAGCAAGCTGCCAGGTCTGGGACTTGAACTGCAGTCAGCCCACTACCATGTCCTCTGCCAGCCCCAATTTGGTTCTTTATTATCTTCAAAATCTTTTAATTATTATTATCTTTTTTCATTGCTAGAGGGCACGTGCACCCCCCCAAAGAGACAAAGCACCTCCTCCCCAGTAGGACTTTTGCATGCTGCAGTCCTTTCGCCTCCACTTTCTCCAACTTTCTGTGGTCTTGGGCATGCATACACAAATATCCAGTGTGTTTTTCAAGCTGCTGGGTCCTGGGATTTGAACATGAGAGATGGCTCCCTTAACCACTTGGCCCTGGCTGTATCTTCAAAATCTTAAAATGTCAGAGGCTCATCCTGATCTACCAGCAGCACTGCTTGCTTTTCCTTAGTATATCTAAGTCCCACGAACCTTTTCACCCTTGTGGCACAGCAAATGAAGTGTTGTATTCCAGCATTCCCAAGGCATGAGAATGTTTTATGTTACTGAAAGTGTTTTATATTCAAGTAAATCTGAGTTAAATGAAATTAAACAGCCTTCTTGTTTTATAGATGTATTCAGTGCCTTTAATGTACTAGTAGATACCATTAGGTTGGTGCAAAAGCAATTGTAGTTTCAGTCAGTGACTTTTAAACCGTAACTAGGCTCAAACACATCCTTATTAATCAATGTGGGAACCATTACAGTCAGCATACTTTTTGCTGATGAGAACTAAATTTGTTTATTCCTGTAGTGTAAAAATCCATGCCTCGGGATTCAGCGAACTCTTGGAAAGCATCTTCAGTATCCTGCTGGTTGTGGGTGTTTTTTTCGTGCAAAAAGTTGTTTAGGTGATTGAAGAAATGGTAGTTGGTTGATGAGAGGTCAGGTGAATATGGCATATGAAGCAAAACTTAATGGCCCAATTCGTTCAACTTTTAAAGCATTGGTTGTATGACGTGCAGCCAGGCAATCATGGGGAAGAGTTGGGCCCCTTCTCTCAACCAGTGCTGGCTCTCAGCATTGCGATTTCTGATACAGCTCATTGATTCGCTGAGCATACTTCTCAGCTGGAATGTTTTCTATAGGATTCAGAAGGCTGGAGTGGATAAGACCTCACCATGGTTGGACCATACCTTTATCTGGTGCAAATTTGGCTTGGGGAAGTGCTTTGGAGATTCTTCTGGGTCCAACTACTGTGCTAGTTGTCACTGGTGGTCATATAAAATCTACTTTTCATCACATGTCACAGTCCTATCAGGAAATGGTTCCTTGTCACAAAGAATACAAGAAGACAGCACTTCAAAACAATATTGTTTTGTTTTTTTGTTTTTTGGTCAGCTCATGAGGCATTCACTTATCAAGCTTTTTCACCTTTCCAATATCCTTTAAATGCTGAACTACCATAGAATGTCTGATGTTGAGTTCTTTGACAACTTCTCGTGTAGTAAGAGGAAGAGGATCAGCTTCGACGATTGATCTCTTTTGATTGTTGTTAACTTCCTATGGCTGACTGCTACACTCCTCATCTTGAAGGCTCTAGCCTCCTTTGCAAATCATTAGCAGTTCCTCGGCCAGTGCTTTGTTGAGGTTGCAAGTTGTCTCTGCTACTTTACAACCCATTTTGAACTCAAATAAGAAAATCACTGAAATTTGCTTTTTGTTTCATATCATCTCCATAGTCTAAAATATATATGAAAGAAAGAGCAAGTAATAACTCATTAGCAAAGAGATGAGAAATACTCATTAAAATGATATATATAACATGACCGTGTTTATTTAAGAATGTATTCGATATCAAATAGCAGTTTTTAACCATGTAAAACCGCAAGTACTTTTGCACCAACCTGATAGGAATTTTTCACAGGAAAATATAGTATCTGCGTTTTTCATATTTATCAAATTGCAGAAACCCAGTTTGCCCCCACTCTCACATAAGACTATAATGTTTTGTGGAATAACTTTGGGAAATCTTTTTGTATCCTCAGATTGGAATCTTTTCTCTCTTTTTTTTAGGGAGAGGTTTTTGTGATAGGACATGTACGCTTACTGGAGAGACAGAGACAGAAAGCCAGAAATCATGCCCCCAGGGGATGGCCAGACCACGCTCACTGGAGAGACAGAGACAGACAGAAAGCCAGAACTCACCCCCTGGGGGGATGGCCAAACCACAATCCCTTCTCCATTCTCCTCTTGGGATTTTGGGCATGCACGCACACGCACCCAGTGTGACTTTTAAACCACTGGGTCCAGGACTTGAACCTTGGTGGAGTGGGAGTCTAGCAATGTAACATTACGCCATTTGCTGGGCCCAGATTGGAATATCTTATCTGGCTATCTTAACCTTTCAAGGTCTAGCACCAGTGTAACATCCTCTAGAATCTAACCTGACTTCTCTCTGAGATGCCCCTCATTAGTTTTCATAGAATCCTGTTTAACCCAGCCTCTGCCAGGGCACTCGTTTTACTAGGTGTGCTGTGCTGTCTTTGTTTTCCTGACTAAAAAAAACCTTGAGACAGGATCTGTTCTAAACTCCTGTGTCTACTAGTCTGTGCCACAATGCCTGGGGCACAGTAGCAGTCAGCACTTAGTTAATGAATTCAGCAATGTCACTGTGAAGAGTTAGTGTTTCAGGTGTTTTCTACCTTCCCACAGTCCGCTCTATCAAGCTAAAGGAAGATATTCTGTCCTGCACTTTTGCTGAGTTGAGTTTGGGCTTATGCCAGTTTATCCAAGAAGTGCGAAGACCAAATGGTGAAAAATATGATCCAGACAGTATCTTATACTTGTGCCTTGGAATTCAGCAGGTATCAAATTAAATAATTGTTATTGAGTTGATTGGATTTTTAATATTCTGAGGGAATTTGTGAATTAGGCTGAAAAATGATACTGTGTAGTGGTTATTTGGTATTACTTGTGCTCTCTTTTTTTCTTAATGAACCGCTGACCCTGAGTTAATGCACTTGTTTATTTAATATAGCCTTTTTAAGCTAAACTGAGACCTTTAGTAAAATAACAGGTGTTGGGGACAGTGCAAAGGTAAATGGTCAAAAAGTAAAGAAAGAGTGAAGGAGGGAGATTAAGGGGAAAGTGAGAAAGCAACCTCCCCACAGGGAATTGTCACGCTGTAATCCCTTCTCCATTTCTTCCTCCTTTGGGGCATGCACGTACACATGACTGGTGTGTCTTTCAAGCTGTCAGGTCCAGGACTTGAACCATGCAGTCAGCTATGTGGGATCCAGTTGCCTTAACCACCATACTACCGGCTGGCTCAAGGCATACTTTTTTTTTTTTTTTCTGGAGAGGTTTTTGCTATAGGGTGCTTGCGCTCACCAGAAAAACAGAGAGAGACAGAGAGACAGAAAGCGAGAAATCCACCGCAATCCCTTCTCCTTTTTCCTCTCAGGATCTTGGGCACGTACGCACATGCGCCTGGTGTGAGTTTAAGCCACCGGGTTCAGGACTCGAACCATTGTCTACTACATGGGAGTCTAGTGACATAGCCATTATGCTAACTGCTGGTCCCAAAGCATACATTTTAAAAAGTGACTTGCAGAACTATAAATACAGTGTGATGTTTATTTACATTATGAGAGAATATACATAACATAAAATTGGCCATGTTAAAGTGTACAGTTCACAGTGATTAGTAAATACATTTACAGTCATCACCATAATCTAGTTTTTTAACTTTTCTCCTCCCCAGTACTTTTTTGAACATCCCAAATGGAGACCTCACACCCATTCAACAACCACTCCTTGTTACTCCCTCTATCCATGTTTCCCTTCCTTAGGTCTGTACTTAGGCCCGTCTAAATCTGCTTCTGTCTGTGGGTCTGTCTCTTCAGACTATTTCACATAATGGATTCTGTGGCCTTTTGCATCTGGCTTTTTTCTCTTAATGTAATGTTTTTGAGGTTTATCCATGTTATTGCATGGATCATTATTCCTTTATATGACTGTGTAATATTTTATCATATAGATACACCACATTTTGTTTAGCTATTTTTTCAATGATAGACATTTGAATTGTTTCCACCTTTTGTTGATTCTGAACATACGTGCTCAAGTTTTTGTTTGAGCACCTGTTTTCAATTCTTTTGTGTTTAGACCCCTGAATAAGGATAATTGCTGGGCCGTATGGTAACTGGCCAACATGTTTTAGAACACCCAACTTGTTTTCCACAGTGACCAAACCACCATTTTACATTCCCAACAGAAATGTATGTTGATTCCATTATTTCCACTTTCTTGCTAATGCAGGTTAATTTCTTTTTTAAAAAAAATAGCTCTTCAGTAGTTAAGAACTTACTATGGTTTTGGTTTGCATTTCCCTAATAACATTGGGCATCTTTTCATGTACTTTCTGGCCATTTGTATATCTCCTTTAGAGAAATATTTATTTAAATCCCTTATTGTTAAATTTTTCTTTTTGCTATTGAGTTGGAGGAATTCCATATATTCTGAATATTAAAAACTTTTATCAGATGCATAATTTGCATATATTTTCTCCATTCTCTAGGTTTACTTTTCACTGTCTTGATAACAGTTTGAATCACAAAAATTTTTAATTCTAAAGTTTTTATTTTTTTTTAAATTTTTGCCTTTGTTTTTGGTGTCTTATGTAAGAATCAGTTGCCAAATTCAAGATCATGAAGATTTACCGTAATGACCTTTCTTTTAATAATTACAATTTTAATGGACAGCAGGTGGCATGGGTGGTTAAGGTGCCTGGACTCCCACATAGTCTAGGACCTGGTGGCTTGCTCTCTCACTTTCTCTCCCCTTCTCTCGTCAAATTAAAAAATAATAAAAACAAATAAAATTAAAGAATTCTTTTTAAAAAGTTATAGTTTTAGCTTTTATCTTTAGGTCATTGACCTATTTTAATTGATTTGTGTGTCTGGTAGGAGGTATTATCTGTCTTCCTCCTTTGTATCTGGGTATTCAGTTTCTCCAGTACCATTGGTGGAGGAGCTGTTCCTTACACGCTGAATGACCTTGATGTCCTTGGAGAGGATCGTTTGACTAAATATAAATGGGTTCATTTTGGACTCTGAATTCTAATTCTTTCATTGGCCCAACTCTTAAAGATTGAAATGTCCCTACATATTAATAGTAGCTGGCTTTGTATGGTGTGTTTAAGTAATCTTTCTTCTACTTTATATTTTAAACTTTTTGCTTAAGGATATATTTTAAGTTGGGAAAATGACTTTATTAAAAGGAAGAGAATATAATTCAGTAACAGAACTGTAACCTGGCAATAAGATTTTAAATTGCCCTTGAAGAGGCCTCATAAAAATGCATGTTAAAGTAGTGTATGCTTTTTGGTGCTCGCTTCGGCAGCACATATACTAAAATTGGGACGATACAGAGAAGATTAGCATGGCCCCTGCGCAAGGATGACACGCAAATTCATGAAAGTAGTATATGCTTTTTGTTCCCTTTTTATGCTAGAGAGCATGTGCACATGCACTAGCGAAAGAAAACACTTGCAGTGGGGCTTGATCATACTGCAGGGCATCTTTCTTCACTTATTTATTCCATCAGGATCACATTGTTGTTGTTTTAAGGTGCTAGGCCAACCCTAATTGGCCGTGTGGAAGCTAACTTATTTTGCTGTACTGTGGGGCATGGCTTTTATTAGAATAAGTTGAAATAGAAATAACTTTTTCCCAACAGTGTATAGATAGAAATGCAATAAACCAAGATAGCTATGGATAAACAGATGAAAAATACCAATTTCTAAAAACACCAGACCTTTAGACTCTAATTATATGTTGCCCTGTATTGTTCTGTGATTGCTCCTATGTTTCGCTATCAATTGATTTTGTCTGACCTGCACCCCTAGTACCTTACCTAGGCAGTTCCTCGTTTCCTATTGTGAGCTAGCTGATGGTTATAATTAACACAGTCTAGTGTTCTATAAATAGACTTGAACCTTTGGGAGGCTATGTTACGGGAGAGTTGAGAACTGTGGTTACCAGGCTGCAAATAGCTTTTAAATTTAGGTTTCCTTAGGTCACCTGATACTAGCTAAGTGTATTATTTCAGGAAATGGTCTTATAACTAGAGTGAAAAAGGAAAAACTTATGAGAGAACATCATAATATGCATTAGAAGCAATCTTTGATATATCAACTGCATGAACTGAGTAAAGGATTCTTATTTGAAATAAGAGCCGTCATGTTTTAAAAAGGAGATAAAAGTCTTTACCTGTTAACATGAAAGGGACCTTAAACTTGAATCCTGATATTTTAACACATATCCTTAAAATACTTAGAAAGTGAACATAATTCACAGTATTGTAAGAGCAAAAATATAACAATAAACTACATTCCTTGAAATATTTTTAACTTTTTTCTTTGTATCAACATGTATATTTCCTTTTTTTTCTTGTAGTACCTGTTTGAAAATGGTAGAATAGATAACATTTTTACTGAGCCCTATTCCAGATTTATGATTGAACTTACCAAACTGTTGAAAATATGGGAACCTACAATACTTCCTAATGGTAGGATTATTAATTTTTTTATTTTGATTGTTTTCACAATATTCTTTCTTAAATTGCTTAAATTTTGTGATTACTTTTTTGTAAATTGTTCCTTTTCTGTTTCTGTCCTGATATATAACATATTAGGGCTTTTGAGAAGAAAGTCTTTGGTTTGTTACTGACTTTTAGTAGAACTGTCACTTCTGTGCAGTACATGTAGAAGATACTAATTTCCCAAAATAAATAATTATTTGAGGTTATGTTTACCTTTTTCAAAATTGTATTTGATATGGTGGTATCATTAAGCATAGATGCTGCAGATTTTATTTGCTGACAGGGGACCTTTTTTATAGTTTATATATATACTTTATTGGTTCTTAAGAAAGTTTTAAGTCCTCATCCTCAAATTATCTTGGATCATCTATCGTCAAACAGGTCCATAATTCATTTCTGGTCTCAGGCTCCTCTGCTATGAATGGAGAGGTTGAATATTGTCCTCAGGGATGTGTATCCCTTTCTGTTGGGCTGTAGAGCACCTTTGAAAGATTCTGAGCAACAAGATGGTTTGCATTTAGCAGGCAGAGTATGGACATCAGTTTGGAAGTAACACAGTTGTGTCTGTGGATAATTTCCCAAGAATATAATGCAGAAGCCATATCAGAAAGGGCTGAAGAGCCATGAGGAGAGGCCTCCATTTAAAGGGCATCATGAGCAAGGTGCATTAAAAGCACACTTACGTAAATTCTTCCGTAGTTCAAGAAAACACCAAGATGAATCATCAGGAAGTCATCACTCCTGATGTCAACTCAAAATAAGGGCCTTCTAATGACCTTAGGGCATAATCTCCAATAGGAGTGGTGAAGCTAGGGCTCACAGACCAAGTCTGTCCTGCATCCCTTTTTTTTCCAAAATGTTTTTGATACTTTCAAGTGGTGAGAAACAAGTTTTTAAAGAATTAATATTATAGGGGCCAGCAGGTGGCCTAGTGGTTAAGGTGCTGGACTGCCACATAGCTGACTGGTTTAAGTCTCAGACCCAGTGACCTGAAATTCATGCTGGTGCGTGTGTATGCCCACCCAAAACTTTGAGAGGTGAACAACAGAGAAGGGATTATAATGTGGCCACACCCCCAAGGGGTGATTTCTCACATTTGGCCTCTGTCTCTCTGGCAAGCACACATGCGCCCTACAGCAAAAATCTCTTGAAAAAAAAAAGAATTAATATTATGTGAAATGAAATTTATATGAAATTAAAACTTGTCCATAAATAAATTTTACTAGACTGGAGCCATACCTATTAATTTTATGTATGTTGTCCATGACTTTTTATTGTTGTTGTTGTTTTTAATTTGTGCTTTAAAGTGCATTGACTCACCATTGAGATTCTAATTGCACAGTCATGTGGCATCCAGCTGCTTTAACCTCCATGCCATCTGCTGGCCTTTCTACAACAACAAAGTTATTCAGAGCCTACATGGTCCACAAAACCAAAAATATTTATCTTCTGACCCTTTACAGAGAAAGTTGGTCAATCCCTGATCAAATACAGCAATAGATTTAAATGATTTCAGGGAAATGCATCTGCTTGGATGGAATCACCTGCCCTTATCTTTGTGGTGCCTTTTCTGGTTTTCTGCACAAGGAAGCGGAAGAAAGAGGAACAATCAGTTTTTCATACCTTCCTGTCCTAGAATTGGAGAATTGCTTGGTCCTGTAAGGAATTAGGAGCTCAGTATTGTTTCTTTTCCCCACTTGTGTCTAGGTTATATGTTTTCTCGAATTGAAGAAGAACATTTGTGGGAGTGCAAGCAGCTGGGCGCTTACTCGCCAATAGTTCTCTTAAACACCCTTCTTTTCTTCAATACCAAATACTTTCAACTAAAGAATGTTACTGAGCACTTGAAGCTTTCCTTTGCCCATGTGATGAGACGGACCAGGACTCTGAAGTACAGTACCAAGATGACGTATCTGAGGTTCTTCCCACCCTTACAGAAGCAGGAGTCAGAACCAGGTACGTGGGGATGTCTGTAAGACTTCTGTTTAAGTCTCATTAGTGCTAAAATAGAGAGTTATTGCAGAGGGGTAACTGCAAATTGTTTTACATTTGAATGCTTGTCTCTGTTGTAGGGATAGATTAAAGGCTTGCCTCAGAATGGAAGGACTCACTTGTTTCCAGAGACTTTCATTGGTTTTTAAATTAGAAATTTTGATTTAATTGGGTAGAGTCCAAATAATTTGAATTTTAAAACTTCTCTGGGAATTTAAATGCACAACCAGAGTTGAGAATCATTGATTTACCACACCAGATGAGTCAGTTGCTAATTAAAGGAACTTGTTGAACTTTTAACCTATTACTGCTAAATTTTTTGACCAGAGCATCTTTTTAGTTAACATTGTGAAGTTCTGAAGGAACTTAAAAGCTGGCCTGCAGTGTCCTGCTTCTGTACAGAGAGTATCAGCAGTGACTGTTTTATTAGAATGATCAAGACCTTGCATTTTCAAAAATAGCCTATTCAATAAGTTTGTTTTTAATGTTCACCAAATTAATATTGGTATCCTAGAACTAGAAGTTAAATTTGTTAATTTTGGTAAGGTCCGAAATTCCCAAAATAAAGTTTTTATTTTCTTAAATAATTATTTTATTTAACTTTATTTATTTTAATTTGCCTAGAGAGGGGAAAGGAGAAAGAGAGAGTGAGTGCAAGAGAGAAAGCAAACCACCAGGTCTGGGACTCAAACTACGGCCCACATGGGAGTCCAGCACCCTTAACCATCATGCCACCTGCTGGCCCCATAAAGTTATTACTTCTAAGAATAAAATTTATTTTTTGAATGTGAGAATTTAAAATTACTGAGACTAGAAATCTATAAAGAATAATTTGATGTTCATTTTTGTGTAAATATTTTCTCTGTTGTTTCTTTACTTTAAAAAATATTAAGGGGACCAGCAGTTGGCGTAATGGCTATGTCGCTGGACTCCCATGTAGTCGACCGCGGTTCGCGTCCTGGACCCGGTAGCTTAAACTCAAACTGGGTACATGTGCGTGCATGTGTGCCCAAGATCCCGAGAGAAAGGAGGAGAAGGTATTGTGGCATTTCCATCCCCCCTGGGGGGTGATTTCTCACTTTCTGTCTCTCTCTGTCTTTCTGGCAAGCGCATGCGACCTGTAGCAAAAACCTCTCCAAAAAAATAATTAAGATTATCTTGGGGCCAGCAGGTGGCGTGTTGGTTAAGGCACTGGATACTCCCACATGGTCAACTACGGTTTGAATCCTGGACCTGGTGGCTTGCTTTCTTACTTTCCCCCTCTCTCTCTCAGTGACTCTCTCTGGTCAAATTAAAAAATAAATGAGTGGATAAATAAATAAAAATAATTTTTAAAAAAAGATTATCTTGCTAGGGACCAGCAGTTAGTGTAAATGGCTATGTTGCTGAACTCCCACATAGTTAACCGTGGTTCGAGCCCTGGACCCTGTGGCTTAAATTCATGCCGGTTGTGTGTGCGTGCGTGCCCAAGATCCCAAGAGGAGAATGGAGGAGAAGGGATTGCAGCGTGGCCATTCCCCCTGGGGGGTGATTTCTCGCTTTGTGTCTTTCTGTCTGTCTCTCTGTCTTTCTGGTGAGTGTACACGCCCTATAGCAAAAACCTCCACAGGGGCTAAATAAATGTTTAATGAGTGAGTGTAAAGGAGGGACTGACAATGTTCTTGCTGAAGAACAAAGCCCACTGGATGTTTTGAAACCTGAACAATAGACCTTTCTAATTTTTTTTTTATTATTTCCTGTCTCAAGATAAACTGACTGTTGGCAAGAGAAAACGAAATGAAGATGATGAGGTTCCAGTGGGTGTGGAGATGGCAGAGAACACTGACAACCCGCTAAGATGCCCAGTCCGACTCTACGAGTTTTACCTCTCAAAATGGTAAGTGTTCTTCCTTTGGACTAGACACTGTCCTTCAGAAAGCAATTCGCATGTTTTGGATTTCAGATGGTTTACACATCAGAAGAGTTGTTGGCTTGAAACTTTAAACAAGGACTTACCTCTGATTTCATTTTTTCCCCATTCTCATATATATTGAATCAAGAAAGAAACTGCTGCCTTATCTTTTTTATTTTGTTTTATTTTTGCGGGGGCTATAGTGTACATGTGCTTGCCAGAGAGAGACATAGGCAGAGAAAGGGAAAGTGAGAAATCACCCCTCAGGGAGGATGGCCATGTTTCAGTCCCTTCTCCTCCATTCTCCTCATGGGACTTTGGGCATACGTGCACACACGCCTGGTGTGATTTTCAAGCCACCAGGTTTGGGACTTGAATGGCAGAGTTGGCCATGTAGGATCCTGCCATCTAACCTCCATGTCCTCTGCTGGCCCGCTGCTGCTGTATCTTGATTCTTTTATTTTTATTTTCCCAAAAACTTCTTCAAAAGCAAAATTAAGACCAGCAGATGGCACAGTGGTTAACATCACTGGACTCCCATGTAGTTGACCTTGGTTCAAGTTGTGGACCCAGTGGCTTAAACTCACACCAGGTGCATGTGCGTGCATGCCCAAAACCCCAAGGAGAATGGAGAAGAAGGGATTGTGGCATGACCGTTACCCCTAGGAGGGTGATTTCTCACTTTCTGTCTCTCTGGGGTAATTTCTCGCTTCTCTCTCTGTGTCTTTCTTTGTCTCTCTGGTGAGCCCACATGCACTATAGCAAAAATCTCTCAGGAAAAAAAGTAATGAAGGAAAAAATCACTGCTTTTGTTTGATCTTTATAAGTCACTCAACCTTTATGTGATGCCTAATCTGCAGTGATTTTTATAGTGTAGAAAAGACTTTAAGAAGTTTGTTTTGCTAAACCTATAAAATGTAGAACAATTTTTATTTTTATTTTTATTTTTTTTTAGAAGTTTTTGCCTTAGGGTGTGTGTGCTTACAGAAGTGGGAGTGGGGCAAGACAGACACAGTGAGAGGGAAAGTGAGAAATCACCCCCTGGGGGGCTGACCACACTGCAATCCTCTCTCCTCCATTCTCTTCCCAGGATCTTGGACATGCATGCACATGTGCCCAGGTGCACAAGCAACCAGGTGTGGGATTCGACCCACAGTCAGCCATGCGGGAGTCCAGTGATGTAGCCACTACGCCATCTGTTGGTCCCAATAGTAAAACAATTTATTTTTCCCAGAGAGAGTGTAGTAAAACTTTTTTTTTTTTTTTTTTGAGAGATTTTCACTATAGGGTGCGTGCGCTCGCCAGACAGAGACATTAGAGACAGAAAGCGAGAAATCACCCCCCAGGGGGGAGGGTCACGCCGCAGTCCCTTCTCCTCCATTCTCCTCTCGGGATCTTGGGCACGCACGCACACGCGCCTGGCGTGAGTTTTAAGCCACTGGGTCCGGGACACAAACCGCGGTCAACTACGTGGGAGTCCAGCGACATAGCCATTACGCTAACTGCTGGTTCCCAAAACAATTTTATTTTTAAGTAATTATTTATTTAAGGGGCTTACAGGTTACATAGTGATTGGGGGTGTTAGACTTTCACATGGCCAACCATGGTTCAGGTCCTGGACCTGGAAGCTTGACTTTCCCACTTTCTCTCTTGCTCTCACTGTCACTCTATTCCTTTCTGGTGAAAATTAAAAATAAATAGATGAATGAGATTATATGAAATAATTCTTTTAAAAAAAATTATTCATTTAATTTTATTATTTTTGGTTTGACCAGAGAAGAGAGAAGGCAAGCTGTCAGGTCTGAGATTCAAACGGTGGTTGGCCGTGTGGGAGTCCAGTACCTTAACCACCATACCAACTGCTAGTCCCGGTACAACAATTTTTAAGGACTTAAATTTTTTTTTTATGTTTTTGCCATAGGGAGTATGCACTCATAGGATAGAGATAGAAGGAAAATAAGAAACCCCCCTTCTCCTCCATTTTCCTCCTAGAATTTTGGGTGTGCATACACATGCACCCAGCATGGCTCTCAAGTTGCTGGGTCTGGAACTCAAACCACAGTTGACCATGTGGGAGTCCAGTGCCTTAACCACTGTACCACTCGCTGCCCCTAAGAACTGAAAATCTTTTAAGTAGTCCTCTTTTTTTATTTTTCAGAGAAAACGTACAGTTTTAGAGCTACAAGATCCATACCAAAGCTATTTTTTCTCAAAGAAATACAATGTGGGTTTGTCCTTTGGTTATATGTATTGAGTCCCCAGGATACATGGCTCACAGCCATGGTGTCACGTGTGAGTTGACCCATTTTGTTGCCTTTGATAATGTTTAAGTACTAAAGTTTGTAATTCACACGTTGCTTTATAATAACATTATATTCACTTCAAATCCAATGTGATTTCTTTAGTGTGGAAGAGAAGATAGGGAGTTGTGTTATTCCTGGGAGAAAAATGCCTATAAACCTATTTGTTCTTGTGGGTATATTGCTTAGCTCTAATGTAAATCACAGTGGGGAAAAAGTTAAGAGTCATTGTATTAAAGATCTATACTCTATGATTCCCCAATTTTTTTTTTTTTTCTCTTTTTCTCCTTTGGATAGTTCCGAAAGTGTGAAGCAGAGGAATGATGTGTTTTACCTTCAACCCGAGCGCTCGTGTGTCCCGAATAGCCCCATGTGGTACTCCACATTCCCGATAGACCCTGGAACCCTGGACACCATGTTAACACGCATTCTCATGGTGAGGGAGGTACACGAAGAACTTGCTAAAGCCAAATCTGAAGACTCTGATGTTGAATTATCAGATTGAAGTGGAAGTGCAGTTCCTATTTTCATACACATTGGTATGCACCAAACTGTGAATGCATCCAGCTGCTGGAGACATACACAAGTCCACGGCCTGTTGTCTTGACCATGAGGTGATGGAAAACGAGGACTCGTGAACCACAGTGTGGATGAACAAATGAAGATTGAAGGAAAGGATGTGAACTGAGAAATGTTCTTTGGCAGTGCATATAGTTCTTAGACATCTTCAGAATGACTAACCAGTTTCTCTGAGTGGTGCATAATCTTATTTTGTTTGGGAATAACAAATTGTGGAATATTTTTAAGGAAAACTGTTGTATAAGACTCTACCATAGTAACCTTAGTCCTTAGAGTGTTAGCTTTGGAGTGAACCTTGGCTGCAGTAGGCTCCTTTGGCAAGCCCTCCGTAAAAGTCAGGGCAGAGAGCAGTACAGAGCTAAGAGTGACATCAGGTGAGGACTGTGGGACCCAGACTTGAAGACCCAATAAAAATACTCTTTTTTTTTTTTTTTAAAGATAGAGTAAAGTGGTCTTAATTTTGATTTTTCACTGCCAAGCCAATTATGTGAAGGGTAGAAGTCTCTAGTGTTTCTACCATGGGCCCCTCACATCAGGGAAAATGACCTTCACTGCTGTTAACATAATAACATGTCCCTTTCACTTTCTGGGTCTAGCCTTCTCAGCTATGGGTCTGGATGTGGGTACATTAAGGTAAAGGGGGATGATATTCCACAAACTGATTATGCACAAATCTGTGGAACCCGTTAGACCCAAAGTGTCTTGAACTGTTTGTAGAAAACCCACTAAAACGCCCACTTGTCTGGGTGCAGACCTTCATTGCTGCTGTCCCATAGCCTGAGCTGTGCTACACAGAAATGGGGGTTCTCCTTTCGTTTCCATTTCTTTCCCCTATGGCAGCTTTTCTCCCATCGTTTCACCTTTCCATTTCCCAGATAATTCCTTTTATTTTGTCTTTTGCACCAATTTCTGGAGGCCCTTGTCATTTCAAAAAGATAGCCTCTCTCCTTACTCTGGCAAACTTGTGGGTGTTTCCACAAAGAGACAGTGTTACTTAGCTATCCGAATTATGGTAGAAAAGGTCCTAGTAGGTTCCCATATAAGGCATTTGGAAGATGATTTTGTTGAGCTAAGAAACTTGAAAGTAGGGATTCCGGGATTAGGATACAAAGGCACCAGCTGTCTCACATATCCATGTGCAGGTCTTAGAGCATCATTCCAGAATCCAGCGTAGTCGCTCTGTGAGGATTGCAAGTCCTAGGCGTGTATGGCCAGTCAGTCCGTCTCACTCACTTCCATCTCACTTTCTTCCCCACAAAATTTTGAATCAAAAGTTTTTATGATGTTGGCTAGTCACAGAACCTCTTTAGCTGAGGTTAATTTGACCCTGTGATAAAATCAAGAGAAGTCAAAAGCCTCTTAGAAATTTTAATCTTGAAAGACTTTTTGGTATCTTTTTTTAGATGGGGTGGCAGGTGGTCTTTTGTTTTGTTTTTGTTTTTTACTAAAGAAAAAAAAACAAACAATTCAAAGTCGTTTAACTATAATAAACATGAAAAAGTAGGCCTTTTTGACATTGTGTACTTGATGGTTCTGTCCCTACGCCTGTAACAAGTCTCATTCCTGTTACCGAGAACTGTGTGAAAGCAGTGACTCTGCCCCAGTTGTGTGTGATTAACTCCATCTGTGTCCGCCGTTGCTGACTGAAAAAACTTTGTACTTCCAGACCTTGTTTGATATGGAGAAAACCAATCGGATTGTCTAATTAAGTCTGCCAATAAACTATTCAGAAACATCAGGTGTAATAGTCCCCACTATACGAATTTTATGGTTTGTATAAATACTAACATTTTCAATCCCTTCTGTAGTTGTATGAAAAAAGCAAATATTGTTAGCATAGTAGATAAATTGTTATAAAATACCAGAAAGAAAAAAAAATCTGTATCTTTTAACTGGAACAGCCAATACCCAGATAAATTACTGTATCAGGATTTCAATTGCATGTTAGTCCACAGAGTTGCCCAGAACCCTAAATTAACTCATACAAGAAAATTTCGATTAGTTATTGGTCATTCCTCATAAGTGTAGCTGTTGATGTTGTATCCAATTATTTGATTTTTTAATTTTATTAAAACTGTGTAAAATTACATTTTTTTTCCAGGGGAGGAAAAAAAATCAAAGAGAGAAGCATCTACATCATCCTTTCTGTTCTTTTCTGGATTTTAACCACTTTTGGGTTTTCCCCTTACAGAAACCACAGAGATGTTCCCTTAGAATAAAATAGTATATTTGTATTTGATGGGTGAATTATTTTTCTTTATGTCTTAAAAAATTTTAAATATCTTTTTCTGTTGGACCTTCTTGGTATGACCCAATAGATAGTAAAATTACAGAGAAAGCAATTTCTAGAAAAAAAATTATTTTGCTTTTACTCAGTCCAGTAAACATATTGCTTCATTGCAGTCTTCCTATTGTCTCCTCTTTCATCACAGGATTTGTTCCCATGTTTTGTTAACGTATTAACTCTTTTTAAAGCCCTAGCAGCTAGAACCACGATGTATCATATATGTATTTTGTTTGAGGCAAATGGTTTTTGAGATTTACAAAATTTTTATCAATTCAGTGTTAATGATAGTGAAGTAGTGAGATGAGAAGGAAATGTTCATCCTTCAGTGTAAATGCATATTGAAATTGAGAATGTAAGACTGAATGGCATTTTCCTTAGACTCCAGAATTGTTTTGCTACCGTGACATACCCATACTCCTTCAGATCCCATCTAGACTGTGTCTGCCTGCCTGTCCTGAGGCATCCCTAATTTGGTAAAATAAGAGCTCTTACCCAGACGTGTAAAGTGAGAAGAATTTCTGTAAATGAATCCAGTTGTGTAGTAAGTTCAGAATTTCATTTTCTATGTGAATAAAATGGCACCCCCAATGGTACCGAGTTGAAATTTTAGGGAAAGTTAAGCCATAACACCCCTGATTCCTTTGTACCAGGGCTTAGCTATCGCCGTTATCTTACCACCACAGAACAGTAATGAGCGGCACTGTTACCCAGGGGGTCTGACTGGAGCCCGGACTGCACCACAGCTTTAGGTTAATTACGTCACCTCTCGGCCTCCATCCTCTCATCTGTACACAGGCATAACAGCTCCTGTAGGTCGTCGTGCCTGGCGCACAGTAGGCATACAGATGCCAGGTGTTCCATGATGGCGTGCAGACCGCCTGGCATGTCCTAAGATTTTAAGTAAGCATGAACTCCCATCTACAGTCTGACTTTTAAGTTCGGTAAGTGGAGTCTCCAAAACACAATTCTGGATATGACCAGTGCTGCACATCCCAGTCAAATGTTTAGTCGTTGAGAATGATGACTGTGATAAAGTCATAGGTTTTCGTTCACAAGTACTTACGTGTGTATCAGTGGTGACCACCACAAAAATGCACTGATGTACTTCACCACATTGCGGAAGGGAAGGAACACATGGCATACAGATGCAGAAACTGATAGTTTACTTTTGAAGTCATTGGGGGAACCTTAACCTTTGAAAATCTTATTTGGTGGCTATTTGTCATCAGTTGAGGAGCAAGATAACGATACCCATCTCCCTGCTTTACTTAGTTACACAGAATCCCAACCCGCTTCCTCACAGGGTTTAACTAGGCAGTAAGTAGTTCCCTTGCTAAGAGACTAGGTGAGGGGACCAGCAGTTAACGTAATGGCTATGTCGCTGGACTCCCACGTAGTCGACAGCAGTTCGCGTCCCGAACCCGGTAGCTTAAAACTCAGGCCGGGCACGTGTGCATGCATGCCCAAGATCCTGAGAGGAGAAAAGGAGAAGGGATTGCGGCATGGCCATCCCCCCTGGGGGGGTGATTTCTTGCTTTCTGTCTCTCTGTCTCTCTCTGTCTGGCAAGCACATGCGCCCTATAGTGTCTTTGTGGCAAGCACATGCGCCCTTTAGTGGGGAAAAAAAAAAAACTCAAAAAAAAAAAAAAAAGACTAGATGAGTTTTGAAAAAGTTCGTGGAAAATGCTTATGGAGTGGTGGTGAAGGGTGCTGGACTCCCATATGGCCAACCATGGTTCGAGTCCTAGACCTTGTAGCTCACTCGCTTTCTTCCCCTCTCTTTCTCTCTCTCTCTCTCTCTTTCTCTCCCCCCTCCCCTTCTCAGGCAAAATATAAATAAATAAAGTTAAATAAAGTAATTCTTTTAAAAAAAACTATGTCCGAAATATGAAAAATACCATGCTTATGGAAAAAACACATGGTTTTATTTGTGTTTTTCTTTGTTTTTTTGCTCCTAAACAAACTGGTACTTTTATTCTATTTTTCTATACTTTACAAAGTCCTCTCGTATTTTCCAGGCTGTCTTGCACCATGGAACTAAATTTGGCCATTGGGACAGAAGCAGGTGTGACTTTACAGCTCTCGGGCCACATCCTTTAAAGGTAAGGGTGGTCTGTGTCCCCTTTCCCGTGGGCTAGAACAGAAATGCAATCTCGGCAAGCCAGCTTTGCCACGGGGGAAAGGGCACTGTGCCCAGAGCACATTGACCCGTGAACCTCACGGACAGAACCTCGTGTCTCCTGAGCTTGTTAACTGAGACGTCCACCGAGGAAAGAAACTCTCACTCACACAGTTGCTGTTTGGTCTCCGTTAAAATACCGTGACCAGTGTCCTTAATACACCTGCTCTGCTCCTGTCCACCTCTGCTTAACAACTGGAGAACTTTTTTTTTTTTCATTTTATTTTATTTATTTATTGTTATTATTCTATCTGAACAGAGAGAGAGGGAGAATAAGAAAGTAAGCCGCCAGGTCCGATACGCGAACCCCAGTCTTCCATGTGGGAGTCCAACACCTTAACCACCACACCACCTGCCGGGCCGGGAGGGTCCTGTTTTTGTTTGTTTGTTTGCTTGTTTTTAAAGAGATTTTGTTATTGGGCATATGCACTCACCAGAGAGAGAGCACCAGTGAGGCAGAAAGCAAGAAGTCATTTCCCAGGAGGAATGGCCAGGCCACAGTCCCTTCCCCTCCGTTCTCCTGGCATCTTGGACACCCATGCTCAGTTTCAAGCCACTGAGTCTGGGACCCTACCTGCAGTCTGCCATGTGGGAGTCCAGTGACATAGCCTCTAAATCATTTGCTGGTCCCCAGAACTGGAACTTCTGATCATAACAATAAGGGAAAAATGATCAATGTTGGAACATAAGTGAAGCGCATTTCACATTATTTTCAGATGTTCTAGAACATCTATATAGAAACAAAGGCCATCAACAAGCTACTAAAGCAGTAAGGTCAGGGCTGGCAGGGGGCGTGGAGGCTACAGGCATTGGGTTCCCACATGGCTGACCATGGTTCGAGTCCTGAACCTAGCGGCTTGCCTTCTCACTTTCCCCTTCTCTCCCTCTCCCTCCCTCTCTCTCTCTCTCTCTCTGATCAAATTTAAAAAAAATAATAGCAAAGGGAATTAAATAAAGAATTCTTATAGAAAAAAAAAAAAACACGTCAAGTAAGGTGGTCAGAATTTTTTGGGTGGGGGGGTAGGGGCGGCAGGTGGTGCAATGGTTAAGGGCCCTGAACTCCGATATGGCTGGCTGTGGTTCGAGTCCTGGACCTGGCAGCTTGCTTTCTTGCTTTCTCTCTCTCCCTCTTCTTTTTTTAAAAAGAATTGTTTAAATTTATCCATCTATCTATTTCTTTTTTTTTTTTTTTTAATAATTTTTACTGTAGGGCATTTGTGCGCTCCAAAGAGACAGAAAGTGAGAAAGCGCCTCCCAGGGAGGATGGGCATGTACACATGCACATGGTGTTTTTCAGTTCTCTGGGTCTGGTACTCAGCCACCCAGTCAGCCATGTGGGATCCAGGCACCTTCACCACATTACCAGCTCCCCCAAGACATTTTTAAGTTTCTAAGAATTTATTCTACAAAAGCAGTAGGGAACCAGCTCTGTGATTAAAAGGAAAGGATACTGTTCACAATAGCAAGCAGAACTATAAAGTATTTACTAATTGAACAATATACACGATCCCTGTGTTTGTTTTAGTATATGGTGTAGCAAACCCGCTACTGGGGCTGGCAGATGGCATGGTGGTTAAGGTGCTGGACTCCTATGTGGCCAACTACCGCTTGAGTCCCAGACCTGGTGATTTGCTTTCTCACTTTCCCTTTCTCTCTGTGTCTTTCTCTGGTAGAATTAAAAAAATAACAACAAAATTAAATCTTTTTTAATAAAAAAAAAAAAAGAAAAGAAAAAATCCAGCTATTGATGTGGAGGAAGATAAGATAGCATCCCAAATAGCATTATGTCCAACGGTGGACTCTGGATTAGAGACCTGAGTGTGAGGCTCAGCCTCTGGTGCAGTGTAACCCAAATGCCCTACAAGGGTAGAAGCCACATGGCTGACCACAGGTTCAGGTCCTCGGGTTGGCTTGAAAATTCCAGCATGCCCTGTGGGCACGCAGGATCCTGAGAAGCTGGAGGCCTGGGGAAAGGGGATCGCAGCATGACGAGGCCCTGTTGAAGTGCCTCTGTCTCTCCCTGTCGCTGTCTCTGTCCCCATCTCCTTTCTTCCTCTCATGCATGTATTTGCACACCTATTTCCCATCATAAAAAGATCTGAGGACCAGCAGGTGGCATAATGGTTACATCACTGGACTCCCACGTAGTCCACCATGGTTTGAGTTCTGGACCCAGTGACTTAAAACTCATGTCAGGCACATGTGCAAGGGTGCCCAAAATCCCAAGAGGAGAATGGAGGAGAAGGGATTGCAGCGTGGCTGACCCTGAGAGTGATTTCTCACTTTCTGTCTCTGTCTCTCCAGTGAGCACATGTACCCTATAAAAAGAAAATCTCTAAAAAAAAAAAAGAAAAAAAATCATCTCAATGTGAAAGGTAAAATATAAAATTAAGAGGCAGTTCGGAAGTATTGTGAACTAGGCACAAGTATGAGCTTTTTAAACAAAATCTCCAAGACACAAGCTGTATAGAGAAAAAATATTAATTTTACTATATCAAAATTAAAAATTCAGGGGGCCAGCAGGTGGCATGGTGGTTAAGAAAGCTGGACTCCCATGTGGCTGGCTACAGTTCAAGTCTCAGATCTGACAGCTTGCTTTCTCACTTTCCTTCTCTCTCTGGTCAACTTCAAAAAAATCAAATAAAACAATGACAATGAATAAAATTGAATAAAATACTTTAAAAAAATTTTTTTAATTAAAAATTCAGGGGACAGCAGGTCATGGTGGTTAAGGCACTGGACACTTCCACAAGACCAACCACGGTTCT